TGTGACTTCGGGAAGGGCCCAAGCAAGTCCATGCCGATTCATTCAAACGGTTGTGACGGGGGTGCAACAGGCTGCAATAAACCAGCAGGGCGCACAGGTGGGGCTTTACGGCACTGGTAATGATTGCACGTTTTAACATAATGCTTGACATCCTGGGTGAGCTTTGGCCAGTAGTAGCGAGTCCGAATCCAGGCAAGGGTACGTGCGATGCCTAGGTGGCCGCAGGAAGGCCTCGTCGTCACGGCTGCTGACCCGCAGGTCGCGGGTTTGAATCCCGGATGCGGCGGCTGCATTTCCGATGAAAGCGGAAATGTTGTAGGCCCGTGTGCTCAGATTAGGGTGCACGTTAAAGAACCCCAGGTGGCCGAAATTTCCGGAGCCCTCCACTACGGCGTCTCTCATAATCATATGGTGGTTTCGGGACGTTAATCCCCACATATCAATCATCGAAGGCTCGTCGTCGCAGGCAGTTTAAATGTCAGCACGTAGCCCTGGTGGAACGACGAGGAGGTATTCAGTCTCATAAGGTTGGAAGTTCTTTTTGTAGACGATGTCGTTGCGGAGACAAAATGACCCTGAACGTGCGAATGCCGATGGTGGACTCGAGCTGTGGCCTTGAAAGTATTTGATAAGTTGTCGGATCTCTGAATCATTCTACTGTTGTTGGGCCAAGTCAGATTCACTGACTGCACAAAGAAAATGACCATCGGTATCATCGTCACTCGATGTCGTCGCAAGGAGTGCGCGCGAAAGGCAATCAGCATCAGTATGCCTGCGGCCCAACTTGTAGACGACTGTAACCTCAAACTCTTGAAGGCGTAAGCTCCACCTCACGAGGCGCTCTGAAGGGTCCTTGAGATTGGCCAGCCAACAGAGGGTATGATCGTCCGTAACTACTCTGAATGGACGGCCATACAGATACGGTCGGAACTTTGTTATCGCCCAAATAACAGCAAGACATTCCTTCTCCGTGGTCAAGTAGTTAGTTTCTGCAGATGACAGAATGCGACTAGCATAAGCGATGGGACGTTCAGCGCCGTCTTGCCACGGGACGAGCACTGCACCAAGACCGATGTTGCTTGCGTCGTCGATGGCATACGTCGTCGTCGTCGATGGCACACGTCGGTGAAAGAATGTCGTCGGATGTCGGCAGGCAGATCGGGGGAGGATCTTGTAACGGTCAATCAACAGCGGCCTCACCCCCAGAGGTCGCTGTTCTTAGTTTCCCCGGTGCGGGCTTGTGGATCTAGGCGATCTTCCTGCAAGGACGTCCGCGAAGGTCGATTGTTGGCCAGGTGACGTGGAACGCCGTGGAGACGGTGAGCGGGATTGGCAACGTGGAAAGGTTGAGGATCGTTGGCTTGCCAAGTATTCGGTGATAGCACGGGGCCGCTCACCATCTCTGGGTCGACGAGCATCCGCATGAAAGCCAGGAAGACCCATGTGCCTGTAGGCACACTCACGGTAGATGTGACCTGGTTCACCACAGTGATAACATAGAGGTCGGTTGTCGGGAGCACTCCATACACTGGATTTCCGTGTAAGGGGTGGGTTGCCGTACTGCGGTTACCCTGAGTAGAATGACGGCGCCGTTTGCAGGGTGGACGGATGGGACGGATAGCCAACAGCCGGTGCAGGAGTACGTAGTGCTTCCGCGTACGTTAATGGCGGAGCTTCGGCTGGACGCGCGGCCGTCATGGGTTGGACTTCGGCTGCACGCAGAGTCGTCATGGGGTGCACCAGCTGCCGGACTTCTTCGCGAACGACATCCGTTAGAGCGGCAACATGCGGTGGAGAAGACACCATCTGCAGCTTTTGCAGCTCCTCGCGCACAATACTGCGCACGAGCTCCGTCAGGTCTTTTACAGTCGTGACGTCAGGTGTTGGCAGCGCCGACGACACTGACGAAAGACTGCCAGGACGCTCATACTGGTACGAACGCTGCCTTAGCATTCTCTCCATTGTCGTGGCTTCGCGGAGGAAATCCTCTACAGTGCTGGGTGGGCTCCGCACTAGTCCCGCGAATAGCTGCTCTTTCACTCCCCGCATTAGGGGGCGCACATTCTTCTTCTCCGTCATTGAGGAGTCGGCTCGCCTGAACAGCCGCGACATGTCCTCAACGAACATGGCAATGCTCTAGTTCGAACACTGGTTTCGGGAATTGAGGAGCCGTTCCACTTTCTCTTTTCGGTCAGAGCTTCGGAAGGTATTTCGCAACTGGTTGCAAAACTCTGGCCAGGTTATCATAGTGGCTTCATGGTTTTCAACCAAGTGCGTGCAGAGTCCTCAAGATAAAAGTAGACATACCGAAGCTTTCGCTGCTCGTTCCACTCGTTGACGCTGCCGCAACGGTTGTAGCCATCAAGCCAGTCGTCAACGTCCTCGTAAGGGTCACCGTGGAACGGCTTCGGAGTTCGCGGGACGTTGAAGAACCATGAAGGAGGCAGCATTGATGTTTCTTGGGTTTGCGTTCCCGCACTAGCCATAGTACTGCCGAGTTGTGGAAACAGTCCGAATTCAGGAGGTAGGCCTAGTTGTCGCCTGTTACGCCGTAGGTCAGCTGCTTCTTCCAAGTCACGACTAGTGTCGGGACCTTGCTGCTGATTTCAGTGCATACAACACTACCCCGCACCTCCACCAGAAAATGTCACGTGATTACAGAACAACCACAAAGTCTGTTCACAGGAGCAGCACTGGACGTCGAGCAAAAGCGAACGTTAGAGCACGAGCACACCAACTGCCCTCTTCTCTTTCACACCATGGCACATACTCGGATTGGCATGGCTAAACCTCGTTCCATGCTTCTGGCAATATGGTGGTTTCGGGACGTTAAACCTCACATATCATCAATCAGCTCTTCCGGTTGCGCATCGTCGTCACTTTTCGGTCCCCTCTGGGAGCGCTGTTCCGTAATCGTCTCACGTCCAAGTGGCGCCATGCCAAGGAGGCCAATTTAAACAGAAGTGAAACGGGAAAGGCTTTGAAGCATCGATTTTTTTTAAAAACAGATAAGCAGTCAAGTGCGTGAGAAACCAATAGGTGTGCTGTATCTTTGAACTTTGCAATTCACGGTCGTGATAATGTTTCGCGCATAAAGTGCAACTCCTTCTCCTGAGTAACTTGTTAGAGTAATTTACAAATGAAGTTTTGGAACTTAAAAAAAAGTCACAACTTTGCCACAAAGGTGAAGTAATGAACGCGAGAGCAACAAAATTGAAGATCACGTGCAGAATGGTATGCAAATCGAAACGTTCCCCGCGTTTCTCACGTACAAATGACGCACGAAACCTACTCACAGGTACAGATGAATGCGAATAAGCGTCTCAGTTGTTATTTCACCCTGTCGGAAAAGCATGCCCTTTGCACAAAGGGGGATGTGCCACGATTGCAGTTTCCTTTGTATGCTCGGCCACTACAACAAAATACGTACGAGACGTACAATCTTTCCCACTGCAAGATAAGGGTGCGCGATCGAGCGTGCACCCCCTTATTCTCTACGCAGGTCAAAGTACGCGTGAAAGATGAGAGCCGTCGTGCGCTCACTGCGTCATCTTGCTGATAATGCTCAAAAACCGATAGCCCCCTTCCCCCAGATGGCTGCCAACAGTGGTAAGAGATAGATATAAATAGCTTTCCGTTTGAAGGTCGACTGAGGTATACCCCTTGGTGGCTCAGTGGTTAACGCCTCACATTCACGACATGAAGGTCTCACGTTTGATTCCGCGCGCCGAAGTATTTTTTCGAAATGTTTTTTCTTACTTGCATTTCCATATGTATAAATACCTATACAGTGCATGACGTCGACGCCGACGCCGGCGGCGAAATCCCGCCGAGAGTGTCCATATAATTGCTATCACAATAATACAAAGCTAAAGTCGGAATACTTCTGAAGGTTGAAAAACGCTATGAAGCTGATAATAGCGCATGTTGTGTACTGCACACCAATATGCAGTCGTAGCTCACCCATTAGGTTTTCGAAAGCAGCAGTAAGCTACATGACCTGCCTATATTTTCGAGCTACAGAACAAGCATTACATCTAGCTACTTCAAGTTACGCTAAATTTGAAAAGGCGCGAAGAGCGCAGATTTATATCTCATGCTTAATAACTGCTGTGGGTGAGTGAGTGAGAATTTATTAGACAGCACAGAGGTCGGCCTGAGCTAGTTCGCTCTAGCCTGCTACTCTACACAGGGAATAAGGGAAAGGGGAAGGAAAGAGGGATGAAGGGTGATGATGGGGACAATAAGAAGTGGTGCGCATGTACAGTAGCCACTTAACATAGTACCCTACAGTCTAGTTTCTAGTCCAGTGGTTTTTACAAAGTCTGGAACAGCCTTTGTAGCAGTTTTTGACACTGTTTGGTCGTTCATTGCTGACAATATGTGGCTTTCACTTAATGATGTTCGTCCAATGCTTGCCAACGTTGCAGTTCGCATTTTTCTGCTGTGTGAACTTGTTTTGCAGCTGCTTCGGAAAACAATTCGTTTTATTTCAACGTTTAGCGTTCTCTCCTTAGGAGGTTACGGCGCAAATGCAAATTTTGAATCACTTATGTAGGTGGGGCAGTCTCGTGTAGGAGGGACATTGTCACGATATTCTTTCGTACATCTATAGCGGTGGTGGCATTCTACTGGTAACCCGAACATCTCTTAAGCAGGGAGTCTCGGACCGATAGGCGGCCAGGGTATCCGGCTTATAAGTGCGGTTTAGCACTCAAGGCTGGCCCCGATGAAACGGGAACACAATTCGCTTAGCGCATTTTAAAGGCACTGTCTGACGACAATCTTTTTCACAAATTTTGATTGGAAGGGCTATTTGTCGCGTCCCCCGTGTTTAGTTCTACGCTTAGTTATGTGGACATGTCCCAATATTAAGGCCAAAAATTCACCTTGCTAAACCAATGAAAATTTTTTTGTAAGCTTTCCGCAGCAGCGTGCAGTATTATGCGTCATTTTCCAGCATATGATTGCTTCTACTCATATGATCGCTTCTACTACAGGGTGCTGAAAAACGAACTGGACAATTGTGCCGCCCGTTCCAAGTTCAACAGCCAGGAGTGCGCCCAGGTCGACGGGAGTGCGATGGAAAAACTGATCCACACTGTGATCGAACGCATAGTGCCAGACTACAACGCCGCCCCCCAAGCCTGTTTAAGCGCAGCAACTCTTTTGTCTACTGTCCTGGCTCTGGTCTTGACCAGGTGGAACTAGAGCACTTCTCTTGTATAAAGGAGTTTAAATCAATTTGTAAACCACCAGTGAGTCTCACCTCCCCATCACGTCACGCTTTTGCTACGCTGTATTACGGAATTTATTTTACCTTGAAATAAAATTCATTCATGTGAACGTTGTGACGTCTGTTCGAGCCATATATTGTGGCTGAGTTTTTCGTGTGCCTTCAAATTTCACTACTGCATTGTTATTGCAGGATAAAGTGAAAAGCTGCTTCTCGAGCGTTTACTTTGTCACGTATGCTATACTATGAACGTCCTTTGTAATGCCTTACATAGGACGTTACTATCTTACAAAGGACTTTATTATATTGCTATCCTTCGTAAGTAGTCTTACAGAGTGTAGCTGGTATGTGTAATGTATTGGCATTTATCGCAACACCTTATAAAAAAGGTGCTTTATAAGTGCCAAGAAATCATTGTTGTAGTGTACAATGAAGGATAGTAGTATATATGGTTTATAGGTGGATGAAAGGCAGAACTTACTGACGCGTTCTTTATCTACAACAAGGGTAATGATTGTATATCTGGACCGCCTATTTGTCTCTTAGATTGCGAAGTAATCAAGCTCAAGAATTTTATGACGCCACCTGAATTTCCTGCGCACGATGTGAAGGTTTTAGTTTCTTTTATTATTCAAATTCAATTGTCACGCGTCACTTGTAATGTGCTTATTATTGTACTTCGTCTTGTGTGCACTCATTTTTTCACAACATGCACAGAGGATAGTGCTTTACAAAGTTGCATTTCTAGCTCACATCCACTTGACGGCCTTAGTAATGAAAGTATTTCTCCCGCAATGGCCGGGACAGTTAAAGGGAGTGGCAGCTTCTCAGAATGAGAGATTAGGCTCTGGTGGAAAAAAAATCACTGTGAATTAAAGTGAGAGGTTTAAGCACCCTTCCCCAATCTGGCAAAGAAATATATTTTAAGCGATTTTTAAAACTTACAAAAACTAGTGTGTCACGCTGCCTGGTGGAGGAGTCTTGAACCAGGATTAGGGCGTATTTTGTTGTGGTTACATTGTCCGATGCTTTCATGCTCTCTATAATTTGTGCTAGATGTTCAAATTGGTACCACGTACCTTGGGAATCGATGTTATGCGAAGCATGCGAACGGAACGCGAATCAGTTGTAATTTTTTCATTTAGCGAAACATTACAGAAAAAGTGCTTAAAATACGTACCAATGCACACAGATAGGCTAAACACGCACATATGTTTTAGACAACCAGTTGTCTACAGATGCGTAATGATGCCAACAGCAACATGGACATTAGCAACACCAGAAGCCGCAAGCTAATATTGAGCGCTGGGGTCGCGAGGATGGTAGGCCTGGACACTGCCACATAAATCGACTTTACTCGATGGCGCCTAATGACAACTGACGTTAACCCGACGTGATGCCTCTATCATAGGAGATGGCTGGTCTAGAGGCGCGTGCTTCTTACAGCCTGCGCAAGGTGGGGCTGTTTCTACCTATCGCCGCTACATCACAGGTGCGCTCCGAGCCAACCAGCCGCAGCTCGCCTAGAGTTCCTCGACGCACGTGCTCCCCTCCGCCACCTTGAAGAGTGAAGAAAACAGCGTTATCTGCTACAGCGCCCGCCATTACGATGCCCTCTCCGCAAGCCGCCTATAGCCACCATGGGAAGCCAGCGGGTGTCATGCGGCTGCATACAGAGGGCGTTGTGTCAGAACGTGTGGCACTAAAAAAACATGGGATAAATGCAAGCTTACCCATCAAGAGCATCAAAGTCTCAAACTTTTAATCTTTATTCTGTATTTTTAAAGCGAAATGAGCAGCTGGAGTGGCTCGAAGTCAAAACTACCGTTTAGCCAGCCGCGTTAACACCTCCAACTAGTCGGTAACTGTTTATTTAAGTTAAAGAGGTGGAACACAAGCACCCAAGCCCCATCACTTTTCACTGTGTGTGTTGTGTTGCGTGCCTTTCACAAAAGTCTAAAACAGTTTTCCAGCTGGCTGAAAAAAAGAATAAACAAAAGCTGCATGTTGTCGTGAGAAAAGATAAAAACGGCGATTCTGTACCATATTTCCACATCTTGTTTCTAAACATTTCATCAGCGACCTCATATATAGTCCACACCAAGCAAGGAACAGTATTTTGAATTTTGTTTTCATCTAGGTTGCTGTACTACAAACATCAGATTACCAAAAAATAGTTGAAAACCTATTACTCTCTTTGGTGTTTTACATGTGGCTTTTATGACATTAAATTATGAGTCACACGAAGACATTGGCTATAAAACCAGGGTTACCGTATTTTCCATTGAAATATATTGTAAGTATATTGTATATTAGTAATTGTTATACAGCGTTCATCGCTATCGTTAAAATAAAATTACCGTGCGGCTTTCGAACAATGAGAAAGCAAGTTACATTCACTATGCGGCTATTTGGGGTGCCACAGCCTTACTTAGACAATAACTTTATTATACTTCAACAACAAGCGCTACACCTCACTGCCAGTAAACCGCAGTGTCTTTTTAAGGCAGCCGGCGATTCGCCGGTCAAAGCGCGTTTGGCCTCGCCGACCCTGCCGGCGGGTTGTGCCGTTGATCCCAAAGAATTATAAGAAAGAAGTGAATAAGTGTCTATTTCTTTCTGAAAAATATTGTCAATGAGAAAATATTCTTTCACGATGAACTGACGAGATGTGTGCTTTCAATATGGTGTTACAAAAATAAATAGTTGAAGGTACCAGTACCAACAAGCCCATAGCGTAGGTGCACATCTTTGCGCAATTGCAGCATGTGTACAACAAGCGATTAGAACAACGTGCTTAGTGCTATACAAATTGAACGAGTTAATTACGCATGCACACAGCATGCAAATGAACATGTATCGCCCCGGTGCACTGGTAATCACTGTTAGGCCTGATCGGGAACAAATTTCTAAACATTGATTGGCGTCCTTCTGCTGCTCGCGTAAGAGAGTCAATCACATCAGGCTCGATCGTGATCATAAGTGTCCGTGTGACAGTGCTTTAAGTTATAACTCTCGAAGTGTTGAAATGATAAAACCTAGGCTGCACAAACACGAATAGTTCGTGGGTTGCCACTTGTCGCGATTGAACTTTACCATCCCACGTCTTTAGGTCTTACAATATAACTGGATGCCCGTGAAGTGAATAATCCTTCTATAAACGAGATGTCCGATGAACTTCGTTATTTTAACCAGCGTCTCCTCTTTCCATGAGCCACCCCACTTCGCATAGGTTGGCGTTTCAATATATGCATCCAAGCATATTTCTTTGCAATTTCGCGCATATCGTGTTTAAAAAAAGACAATATCGCACGCAGTTCTAAAACGTTCCGCACTGCTCTAGTGAGGGCTAAGATGTGCTCCAGGGGTCCTCCTTGTCGTTAGGAGAAGGTCTCCAGCTGACGCCAGCACACCACGCGCCAGCAAAGTGTGGTCCTCGCACGTAACCAGAGTAGCTTTAAAATTGTGCACAAAGGTCAGAAGCTATACGTACTTGCGGCGGAGGAGACAACCTGAGAATTTGAACAAAACAAATTCATGAACGGCTGTGGATGTCTCAGGCTGACACGACACTTCGTCACCATAAATCTTCAAGCCGAGGTGCCGTCATTCTCGAACTTTAAGCTTTCCCTCACTCAATTCAGGTGAGATTGCAAGACAGTTTCGAGCAGCGCATGTGTTTCGCAGCGCATGTGTTTCGCAGCACTGGTGCGTACCCATGTTCGCGGAACTACGACGCCATAAGAGCGACTAGTGACACTAGATGCAACCCTGTGTCTGATATAACGTTAAAATCAAAACAAAAGCTGCTGGAAACTGTCAGAGAAGGCAGCCTCGACCCTTTAAATATGCGGCGGACCTTCGCAAATACTTTTGTTGAACAAATATTCCCTCAATCTTAGGAACAGCTCTCTATTGAATAGCTGGCACAAACGTCTGACAATAATTACGGTTCATCATCGTGAAATTCCGAAGCTCACATTGTAATGGTATATTTGACTTGCTAAAGTTATTTTCATTACAGAACTTCGATGTTACTATAGCATATTCATGAGCGGCATGCACTTCTGTCAAGTTCGCCAGGCTCCTGCACTTTTACAACCATGCATGCTTGCTAAAAAGTCTCTCAAAATTGCTATGTTGCTAAAACGGGCAAATTCTTATTGGTTCTGGAAGTTGAGTGGCCGAAATAACTACTAGAGAATGCTCGGTGCACGAAAACAAATATAACATGCCGATATTGATGATCTAAAAGCGTCGAACACCAGTATCGATTTGAGTAGGCGTGATAACAAAAGAGTTAAAACAGTGACTCTTGCTGCAAGGCCCAGTCACCCTGCTCTCCCGAGACTCTCGAGAGAGCAGAGCTTTGTTATGACCCCAGAGCGCGAATCGCCTCATAACAAAGCATTTTTTCTCTAGCTTAAAGAAATGAAGTGAAGTCATGAGTATTCCAATTTTCATGCCTGTGCCTCAGAGCGTCGCACTTAGAAGGCTCAGCCAAATGATTCATTACCGACGGGCAGAAGAAATGACAGAAAACTCACTTTTTTTCCAGGAAACATCACTGAATTGTGTCGAAATAATTAACCTGCGTTGTTTGTTGGCGTGCGTTCCCTGCATTTCTGTTCGGTTTCTCTTTTGAGAAGCTCAAGATCTTTTGACCCTGTCTTTCCGGCTCGCTTAAAGAAGCAGAGTTTCGAGCTGTTGATTGCTCACGAGTTTTTTTTTTTCAGGGGCCAGTTACGAAGGGTATCCTTAAAATATCCGTTGCCGCAACACAGCGAGTAAGTTTTAAATTCGTGTGCATTTCATAGTCGAGCTGTGTCAGGCGTCTGTCGGGATCCGTCCAACACCCTCCCCATAACAACAGCTGCGGGCGCGCGCGTCCCTGGTGACCGTAGCCACCACCATGTCACGCTTCGGCGTCAGCAGCTGTCAGCAACAGCTGTGGGTGCACGTGCCTATTAAACCGTGCACGCTAGCTACTATACTCGGCGACAACTTTCAGTGGCAGCACAGCGAAAGCTAAGAATTCCACGCACGCCCTTTTTACTGCGCTTCTGCATGTAGTCCGCGAATGCTAACTTCTGTATACTGCGTTGCATAC